TGGCTTTTTCCAAAAGGGCAGCCGGCCTCAATTCCTTCTAGGGATACAGAGACATTCTCACCAGCTCTGCAGTGAATTCTTCATGTCAGAGGCCTTGTTCCTCTGGAGTGGCTGGAGATAGTGGAGACAGAGCAGGAAAGCATATTCCTTAAGGCCTGTGGATGGTGAAACTCTGTGTCCAGGTTTAGATACACCTCATTTCAAAAGCCAAAAAATCCTGAATGTTTCACCATGAAGTGCATAGGCAGTGGCAAGGTAGATACTGAGTATAACTGCATCTATTTCTTTTTTTTCCTGCTAAACTTCAGCCTTACTTACTCAAATGTGGTCAACTGAGAATAGCTTAGACAATAGTAACTGCTAACATATGTGAAATTTCTGTAAGAGGATATTGTTTCCTTTACAATATTATTCTCTGACACTGTTTTATTTTTCCTTCTGGAGGAGCTGATAGAAGGTTGATTTTAGATATGAAATCTTTTTTCCTCCCTTAAAAGTCACCAAGGGGCAGGGTTGCAGTCAGTAGACAGTGAATGTTGTTGAAACATGTAAGAAGGGAAAGATTCAGACAGAATACACCATTACGAGTTTCTTTAAGTCCAACTTCATTGTGCTTTTACACATCTGGATAATTAACCAAGCATTACATTCTCTCTAGACTATTTTTACAAGTACAATGTGCTCCTCACGTGATTTCCATTAGGCTGTTCCAAACATTATTTAAGAACTCGGAGAGATTGCAGACCAAGATTCAGAACGGCTTCTCAGCTATGATGTTGAGACCTTTTGCTCTCCTGGGGGAAATAAAAGATTGAGAGCTGAATTCTGAGACCTTTCTGATGTAAGAGGAGAATTGGAAGTTTATGGCTTCTTTAAGCTCCAACAAATACAAAGCATGTACAAACACACCCTAATACCTCTGGTCCTTCTCGTTGGTGGTGAGCTCAAAATATGGTCACCATGGGAAAAATTAACCAAGCCAGAGCAACGCTGGGAACTGTAGCTCGAAGCTCCTTTAAGGATCAGAAAGGAATACTAAGGACAGACTGAAATCCTGATGTGTTACTTGCTGACCTCGTTTCAGTTATTGTGTTAGAGGTGTATGTTCATGTGGCCAAATTCCTCATTTGAAGGTCACTGGGAAATTCCAAAATTCTGGTCGTACTTTTCCTCTTTGTTTCTATAATTGCTTTGATGTTGCTCAGAGAGCTTATGAGGCCAGGGTCTGATCCGACATTAGGTTAGTGTTCACTCACAGGCATCAGGGGCTTCACTGGCCAGCTGCTGCCCACACTGGTGAATATCCTTATAGATCAGAGAAGCCACAAGACTGAGAATTCTGGTGTCGTCTTTAGGGGCAGAACTCAGAACAAAAACAGCAAGAGTTCGTAAAATTATAGAATCATGATTATAAACTTAAGATCCTAAACAATCACACCTAAGTTCTTCTCCTCAAATGTGAGGTTCCATTCTATTTCAAATATATTCAGAAAAGAAAAACTGGGTAAAATAAAACATACTTGATTTACTGTCTGATTGTCTTTTGAAGCGTTTGAGGTGGTCAGAGAAATGTTAAATTGAAAAACACATGATTCAAAAGGAATAGGTAAGTCTGATCTTGCAAAAAACAAAAAGAAATGTGTCTCAAGGAGAGAGAAGATAATTGAAATTTTATTATCATGTTTTAGTGCCTGTTTTCCATAAAATAATTCTATAATTGTCTACTGTGTGACAGCCTGAGTCACCCAACCGATGGAGTGATTAATGAAAAAGGTGATGAAGGATTTGTCACACTGTCACAAAGCAAGAAAGGATGCGATAGTCATTAGAAAGGAAAAAAATGAGGTAAACATCACCACGGTCAGCAGATGTGGACTGAATATTGAACAATCTGGTTTGGGATATGATTAGACAACTATCCATCTCGCCATCTTGTTTTTTATAACTGTTCAGCTTAGCAAGCATGGAGTGGATAAACCAAGGTGCGGTCCCAGCGTGGGCCACCAGAGACCCACAGTGTATTTCAGGCCCACTGAACAACCTGTAATATGCGAATGAGACAGGGGAGCCCTGGAGACAGCCAAGCTTGAATTTCAGCTAGGACCAGGAGCAAAATGCACAGACCCTTCCTTTCATTGACGTCAGATATAGAAAAACGATGCTTACCTTAAATTGGCTGAAATTAAATTAGATGAAATGGACTGATTCATAGTAGATGCTTAAAAATCGAGTGGGTATTCTTTCTTAAGTCCCTGCCTATAGATGTCCCAGACACACATGATGGTCAGTGGGGGAAGGTGCCATAAAAATGCTGATGTTTTAGCAAAAATTTGTCATCACTACCTGTACAGCAATTTAAAGTGCATGCCCTTCCACTTCAGAAAGTCAAGAGAGGTGTTTTATTACCAGGTCCTATAACAAGATGACTTGAGTGAGAATATCGCTGGCAGATGCACTTTTTAGCATTCATACCAATTTCCACTAGAGAGAAAATATTTAATAGTAATGCCTGAGAAGTCACTAATTATCAAGCATATTCTCATGGACCTATTTGTGCTGGGCAATGTACAATACAGATGAATGGTCAACTTTGCTCCATAGCCTTTCAGTCAAGGTTTCTATAATGTTGTTTCAGAAGAGATCATGACCTTTATGAGAATAAGCTTTATACTTTATTTTTGTGTCTCTTTGAGTAACTACATAATGCCTTTGACAGAAGAGTTGCCCAATAAACCATCGGACAATGGAGATTTTATAACAATACAGCTTTACCAGTGAAAGATTACTCAGGGAAATGTGCTTTTGTGTCATATTACGGGAATTTTATTTGGTAAATATTCATTTATTTTCATCAACACGAGAATCCAGCACATTTATGCAAGAAGCCAATTTTCAGACACATAAACACATCTTTATAGCTAAAAATGTATTCATGAGTATGAATGAATAAATTATTTGATTCAATACTTTGCCTAAATAATTATCATTGCACAGAAAGGCAATGAGGAGACTGTATAAATTACCTTCTTTGATCATAACGCAGGAGTTTAGGTTTGGAGTTGATCAGCCAGGTATAATTCTGGCCCTATCACTTAACCTAAATTTCAATGTCCTCATCTCGAAATGGGCATAATGATATCTCCAGCATATGGAGGTAGACAAAATGAGTGCTCTTTTTGGTTCCCACGCTTTGAACTATAAGCCCGTGGAGACACCGGGAAGGTCCTGTGGACTCACTGATACCCACATAATGCTTCTTGTCTATTTTGAAGCATTATGTGGGTTTATCTTTTTGAAATGCAGATTCATTCATTCATCAACTATTTATTACATAATAGACTCAAATAAATGAAACAGACAGCTATCCCAGTGATCACGGATCTTATACTCCAGTACGGATAGGAGAACAACAGTATATAAGATAAATAAGTCAGGTTGAAGGTGAAAAGCATTAAGAGGAAAAATGAGTGAAAGAAGGGGAGTGTAAAATGTGAAAGAAGAGGTGTTAAAATTTTAGATTACACACTGTACCCCATGATTGCATTATGTACACAGTTATGCTATAAGACATTTTTTAAAAATTATATTAAAGGGGTGGAGAAGGCATCCCTGGAAGGCTCCATTGAAGGAAAGAGGGAATTCACCCTTTGGGTATCTGGGGGTAGGGCATTCCAGGTGGAGGGGACAGTTAATGCCTAGGCCCTGGCAGCACATGCCTGCTGTGTGCAGGACAGTATGGAGCCAATGGGCTGGAGAAGACGGAACGAAAGGACAGTAAGGGATGGGGTTAGTAAAGTGAGCAGATCATTCCGCCCTTTGCCTCAGAAAAAGCACTTTGGTTTTACTCTAGTGGAGATGGGAAATCATTAAAGGGTTTGAACAGAGGAGTGGCATGATCTCTTTTTACATTTTAGCAGGACCACATCTTATACACAGACTGGATGGGGATTAAGGAACCAGAAAAAGGGGCAGTGAGGAAGCTACTATAGCAATCCATGACAGAGACGATGTGATGGACGGGGACAGAGAGGATGTGATGGACGGGGACAGAAAGGATGTGATGGATGGAGGGAGGGATGTGAGAAGACACTGGGCTCTGCACAGGTTTGGACAGAACAGGTGGAGGTGACAAGTTTGGGTGATAGACTTCTGTGGGGCGTGAGAGGAAGAGAGATTTGACCTGAGGATCCAGAGAACAGAGTTAACCTGAACTGAAGGGAGGCTACAGGAGGGCTTGGGGGCAGCCGGAGTTGAACACACACACTTTACTATTAGACATCCAGGTGGAGACGTCAAGAAGGCAACTCTCTGGTGGAAAAACACAAAACTTTAAATAATAGTATTGGAGCAATAGTAGCTCTTTTTCAGCATAGTCTAAAAGTAGGACTTTCATCATGTTTGTTAGGGGAAAACTATCTACAAAGTATTTTGACCTTGAAAAGAGGGCCTTGTGCTGGAAAAGTTTGGAAATAAAGTCCCAGTGAAAGTTTCAGTGGCCAACAAATTTTACTTTCCTTTACCTTTTCTGCTATTCCTTTAATACGTGTTGATTTCAAATTTGGCATCACGATCGGATTTTTAAATCTTAATCTTGGTCTTGAAATTTTTTTTTTTGCTTATAAATCTTTGAATGGAACTTTCTGGTAAGAAAAGCCCGATGGGTAGCAGAATTTTTATTTTGAAAAAAATAGACATTTTTATTTTATTTTGAAATCTTATTTTTTTTCAAAATTTTATTTTGAAAAAAAATCAGAATGATCGCTTATTACCTGTGCACTTGTTACCTAACCTGTGCACCTAACTCGGGGCTGTTTGGGACAATAAAACATTTGAGAAACACAGCTCTTTGCTATGCGGAACTTACAAAGTGAGGTTAAGAAACAGATGGTGTCCCTCACATGGAAAATCTCTGCTTTGTTGTTATTTTAATTAGCTTACGTATACATAATTTTACTAGTGGTCAGTTTGTAAGTGCCCATTTCAGCATCTGTCCTTGTCAGTCTTATGCAGGGAAATACGTGCCTGCCATCGCCCACCTCATCCACACCCTCAACCCCGAGAGGGCCCAGAAGATCAACCTGAAAGGAATCGCTCTTGGAGATGCGTATTTTGATCCTGAATCAGTAGGTGTCTCCTTTTTTCTTTCCGTGTGTCCCATAAAGAGATTAAATCTCCTCTTAGCAGAAGGAAGCCTCCTTTTACTTTAGAGGCCTCCCTTGATAAAGGGAAATACCAAGTTGACTTTATGACTTAAATTTCCTAATTTTTACCCAGTGCTTCAACATGTCAACTTACTACGTACCTCAGGCTACAAGGGCTATTCAGTGCAAGTGTGTGTGCGTGTTGTGATGTGTGTACATACGTGTGTGTGTGTGTAATTTTCCTACTTGGCTGATTCTGGCACAAGATCAGTAATTACAAAGGGTTATTTCACCAGGCAAATGGGCTTCCCTGACTCCTCTCTTTCTTACCTAGTCAGGCTTACGTGCGCCTCTTTTGTCCTCAGATCGTAGGAGGCTATGCAGAATTCCTGTACCAGATTGGCTTGTTGGATGAGAACCAGAGAAAGTACTTCCAGAAGCAGTGCGATGAATGCGTAGAACACATCAAGAAGCAGAATTGGTTTCAGGCCTTTGCAGTGAGTTCTGGGGCCCTGTGTTGCCCTCGAGCAATTAGAACCATCTGAGGGGAGGAGGGGTCGTAGCAACGCGGAGCACAGGCATTTTCTGTTAGAGAGGGTGTCTCTGGATGGGACATTGGGAGAGGTGAGTGGGCTCATGAAGAAGAAAAGAGCTGTGTGTCTTTGGATTTCCGTCGGCTGTGTTTTAAACCTGAGATCATCTTGGAGTGTTTATCTAACTGTGTCTTTCATTAACTGTTTCGATTTCTTTCAATAACGTGGAGGCCCTAAAGGCGTCCCCTATCCCATGGAAATCAGAAGAAAGGCCGCCCAGGAGACGAGGCTTGTGCTTCCACGTGTGTGTAAACCACTTGGAGGGGCTCTGGCCACAAACAGGGCTTCAGCCCGAGAAGTGACCGCAGTGTGTAACCAAAGTCACATGTTCCAGTGTGCCAGGAACAAAGATTATAAAGCAGAGTCATTTGAAGCTTTTTTTTGAGACAGAGTCTCCTTATGTCACCCTCGGTAGAGTGCCATGGCATCACACCTCACAGCAACCTCCAACTCTTGTGCTTAAGTGGTTCTCTTGGCTCAGCCTCCCAGTAGCTGGGACTACAGGCGCCCACCACAATGCCTGGCTGTTTTTTGTTATTCTTGTCATCTTTGTTTTAGCTGGCCCTGGCTGAGTTTGAACCCGCCAGCACCAGCGCATGTGGCCAGTGCCCTAACCACTGAGCATGGGCGCCGGCCCAGACGTTATTTAAAACTTTTACAGAGAGCCATTGGTATTTGTGAATATGGTTACATTGCTACCCTAAAATTAAACATGAGAATCACTTATTATATTCTTCACCTTTTGATTTCTTCTTTGGTTATTTAAAACGAAATATGCTAAATATTAGGACACAGGGAGTTGAATGGGGGGTTGGCCAATTCAGACAAAGCCCATGTGTAAACAATCTTCCCTAGGGGCTTTTTGCCTCGTTCACTACGGAGCCGTCATGTTTGACACATTAGTAAGTGAGGCAAGGACTGAATTTTGAGGACTTTAATCTGTTTGTTGTTAGCCATATATTCTATGACAATGTACCTATGGTCATTATTATTAAAGAAGAAGCTTGCTATTAACCGTCTTGAGGGCATTGCAGATCAGCTGGTTCAGATCAACATAGGAGGCACACAAACTTGGAGAGAAGGTGGGGGTGGCTGACACAAAGTTATCCTCCAGCTTACGAGTATGGTGCCAGAACACTACCTGAAATCCCCCAAGGCAAGGATTGCCTTGCTGTGAATTCTGAGCCAGCTGTGCAAATGGGCGGTACTAGGGAAGACCTCCTCATCCTGCGGGATTCTAACTGGCTCTCCTTTCTCTGACCAATTTGCAAATGAGACAGTTGATATGTTTTTAAAGGAGCACACAGGGATTAAGCAAAGTCACCAGAGCATTTAAGAGGCCTGTGTATATAAAGAAAGCAGAAAGATGCCTTTGGTACATGATGCAGCAACCTCAACACCTATAGGATTAGGGAAATTGTTAGAAAGTTCAGGTATTTTGTGTATTCAGAAGATAACCAGGTCGATAAATATAGTCTTTCCCAACCAGATTCATCAGAAAACAAAAATACAAACAAGCAAAACCCTTAGAGGCATGGAATGTCTTTTTGACCATTGGTCCAGCATCTCGAATGATGAATTGAAATATAAAGACCTTTGCTTTATCAAGGGAAATAGACAAAATGACACTTAGGGCAGTAAACAACAGGTAGTTGAAATGTGTTTCAGTGATTGCTATGGAAGACCCCAAGAAATCTTGAAACCCAAGAGAATATAAATGTCAAATTCTTGCACTTACATGGTAAAGCCTGTTTGATGCTCTGATCCTTTAAAATGATTTAGTTAATCAAAGAGCAGTAACTCAGAGCTGAATGGTACTTAGATACTGTCCCTACACACACACACACACACACGCGCACACACACGCACGCACACACACTGAGGCTCAGAGAGGTGAATGAATTACCAAAGAACACACAAATCACAAATGGATTTGGCAGCCTTAGGACCAGAATTATTCCCTCTGATTCCCACCCTCGTATTTCTCCCATGGTAACTTTCAGGCATTCTGTAAAAATCCTGGGACGTCTTAAAGACTCTGCAAGGGGGCGAATGGTTGATGTGTGGTCTTGTTTTATCTCCCTTAGCAGGATGATATTCTAGAGCACAGAGTTCTCTTTGTGAAACACGTTTTGACCAGAAATTGGATTTCACAGGTCTTGGCCACCCAACCACCTTATTTGTTTGACAGCAAATAATTTTTAACTCTTTTTTTGAAAACAAATCTGTTCTTAAAGGCTGAATTTATGTTCCCACTGATGTGGAAGATCATTTCTAACAATGAGTTTTAATAATGGTGTCTGCATTCAGGATGACTGCTGGCCAGTGGTGCCTGCTCTAGTGAATGAATTAGAAAGACCCCTCCTCTGCGGGCACAGTCCTGTGGGTTCATTATGCAGCCCTGAGTCAGGGTGTCCAGCAGAGTTTTGACTGGTTCTCAGTGTCCCCTGGAGCACATGATCTGCACAACCAGATGTGGGGTGCGGGTGGTGGCAGCATTGCCAAAGTACACTTTCAGGCCCCACCCCCACTTTCTACAGTGATGATCTCTTTCATTCCTGGCCCCTGTCTCCATGGCAACATTGACTTGGACAAGTTCCTTAATGTTTGAAAATGGATATTAATCTAAAAAAATATAGTGAGAGTTTATGTTAAACCCCAAAGCACGGCAAGAAGGAAGTGGCAACTAGGAAACACTGTGATCTGACTGCTGGGGGCCAGCATGAGTGTGGCTCCGTGTGGCTGCAGTGGCTGCGGTGGCTGCGTGTGGCTGCGGTGGCTGTGTGTGGCTGTGTGTGGCTGCAGTGGCTGTGTGTGGCTGCGTGTGGCTGCAGTGGCTGTGTGTGGCTGTGTGTGGCTGCAGTGGCTCTGTGTGGCTGCGTGTGGCTGCAGTGGCTCTGTGTGGCAGCATGTGGCTGTGTGTGGCTGCAGTGGCAGCATGTGGCTGTGTGTGGCTCCATGTGGCTG